TTTGGAGCCATGGAGCTAAACTTAGTTCCATTGGAATTACCTGAATTTGTCAGAAGCCAAAACCTACTTATTTTGGTTCTATACACTATACATCTACTTAAAAGGAACTAAAACACACGCTGAAACAGGAATGGTAGACCACTAACAGGCTTGAAAATGTGTGAAAAACACCAAATAGGGCCAGATCCCTACAGACTTACTCTCTGGGGAGATGGTGGCTGTTGTAGGGGAGGCATTAGCTATGCACAGTGTATGTTTTGGGAATTAGTTTTTGCCCTTTGTGATTACATCTGTGTGACCATGTGCTAATGTCTGATGTTTAAACAAGTAACTGTAGACTTTTATCTGGCCTCATAAGATTCTTGAGGATTAAATTAGACATAGCATATAAAGTGCCACTCAAGCTACTTAAGCCATTATTTTAAATATTGTTACTGTGCATTCCTTATGAGGGTTTTCTTATTTGGGGTATTCTGTTTAAAGGGTGCTGTTACTACTAACCTTTCTGGAATGCCCTCAGAGTCTAAAAAATGTATTTGAACTCAGCGTTTGTAAACTTTTCATCTCTGAGGATAGATGGAAGATTAGGGAATAGCTAAAAATCTGATGATTAAGGAAGATAAGCTGATGATGCCATTTGTAATTAAAACACAAAGCATAACCAAAAAAAAAAAAAATATCTGTCTTTATGATGTCGGATTTAAAACATTTATTTTATTGAGATGTAATTGACATAAAACATTGCATAAGTTTTATGTATACAGCATAGTGCTTTGTTATATGTATATATTGTAAAATGAGCATCACAATGAGTTTAGTCAACATCCAACACCACACATACTTACATTTTTTTTCTTCTGATCAGAGCTTTTAAGGTTTACTCCCTTAGCACCTTTCAAATATACAGTACATTGCTGTTAACTGTAGTCACCATGCTGTCCATTACACCCCCAGGACTTATTTACTTTGTAGCTGGAAGTTGGTACCTTTTGACCATCTTCACCCCTCAACTCTGGCAACTACTGATCTATTCTCTATGAGTTTGTTTTTTAATGATTCCATACATAAATGAGATCATGTGGTGTTTTTGTTTTTCTCTGTCTGACTTATTTCACTTAGCATAATGCCCTCAAGGTTCATCCATAGTGTTGCAAATGACAGGATTTCCTTCTTTTATATGGCTGAATAATATTCCATTGTATATATAACACATTTATTTTATCCATTCATCCGTTGATGTACACTTAGGTTGTTTCTATGTCCTGGCTATTGTGAATAATGCTCCAGTGAACACTGAGGTGCAGATATCTCTTTGAGGTAGTGATTTTGTTTCCTTTGGATAAATACCCAGAAGTGGAATTGCTGGATCATATGGTAGTTTTTAATTTTTTGAGGAACATCCATACTGTTTTCCAAAGTGGCTGCACCAATTTACGTTTCCCCACACAGTGCAGCAGGGTTCTCTTTTCCAGATGCTCACCAACAATTATGATTTTTTGTTTTCTTGATGATAGCCATTCTAACAGTTGTGAGGTAATAGCTCATTGTGGTTTTGATTTGCATTTTGATTAGTGATGTTGTGTACTTTTTCATGTACCTGTTGGCATCTATATGTCATCTTGGGAAAACGTCTATTTTTGGTTCATCTGCCCATTTTTAAATTTGAATGTTTGAGGTTTTTTTTTTTTTTTTGAGTTGTGTGTAATTTTTATATATTGTGGGTATTAATCCCTTAACAGTATATGATTTTCAAGTCTATTCTCTCATTCAGTAGGTTGCCTTTTCATTTTCTTGATGATTTTCTCTGCTGTGCAGAAGGTTTTAGTTTGATGCAGTCCTGCTTATTTGTTTTGGTTGCTTTTGGTATCAAATCCAAAATATCATTGCCAAGACCACATCAGGTAGCTTACCCTTATGTTTTCGTCTAGAAGTTTCATGGTTTTAGGTCTTAAATTCAAGTTTTTGATCCATTATGAGTTGATTTTTTTTTTTTTTTTTAATCCTCACCCGAGGATATTTTTCCATTTTTTGTACAGACAGAGTGGGAGGGAGAGAGAGGAAGGGAGAGAGAGAGAGAAACATCGACGTGAAGGGACACATCGAGTGGCTGCCACCCGTACGACCAACCAAGGCCAGGGACAAACTGCAACCGAGGTACGTGCCCTTAGCGGGAACCGAACCCGGGTCTCTCCGGACAGCAGGCTGACGCTCTAACCGCTGAGCCAAACTGGCCAGGGCGAGTTGATTTTTTTTATATGGTATGAGATCCCTCTCCAGTTTTATTCTTTTGCATATAGCTGTCTGATTTGTTTTAAAATTTTTAGAAAAAGTTTGAACACAGAGAAGTGCAAGTAATGTGATAAGCATTTTTATATCTATGATCCAGAGTAAACAGATAGAATTTTCTTTAGATTTTTTAATAAAAGAAAAAAATTATTGATGCCATTGAAATTTTCTCTACATTCTCTTTAATCCCATTTTCCTCTTCCTACCTTCCTTTCTTACATAGACAAAACTCTTACTATAAATGTTATGTATATTATTTGTTTTTGTACTTTTATATTAAATATATGTATTAACACAAACATCTTTTTACACTAATGCTTTCATTTTTTAAAATTAACACAATTTATATCCATCATAAATATAATTGCCTATCCATAAACAATATAATAACTGCTAAATAATAATTTACAAAATAGCCTTGGTTCTAAGACCTTTACATGTATTAACTTTTTACAACAATTCCATGAGTTATATACTCTTATTCTCTCCATTTTACAAATGAAGAGGCTGAGGCACAGAGACTAAATAACTTGTGCAAGGGTCACAAGCGCTAAGTGTCAGTGCTACTAGTAGCCTCTTATAGATAGCATTGTTTTAAGTGTTAACAAATAAATAAATGCTATCATATTGTACTTAACATTAAAAAACTTAGTTTTCACTCTTCATTTTGGTAAATACAGATCTAGTTAATTCCATTACAGTGCTCTGTGTTATCGTTTTCATCATATGACTGTACCATCTTTTTTTTTTTTTTCAATTTTTATTAATTTATTTTTGTTACAGATGTTTCTCCTTTTCTCCCCCTAGACACCCTCCTCCCCATCCTGCCCCCCACCCCCCAGCATTGTTGTCTATGTCCATTGGTTATGCATACATGCATGTAAGTTCTTTGTACCATCTTTTCTGTGTCCATTCTCCCATGTTTCCATGTTACAAGAAAATGCTGAGTGAACATCCTGGTACTCGTCATCTTGTTCATTCATGTGAGAATCTGTGGGTCACCCACCTGGAAGTGCAGTGGCTGGGTCAAAGGGCGTGTATGTTTTCAACTCTTTTAGCTAATGGCAAGTTTTTCTCCCAGATGTTTATGTCTTATTTCAGTTTACATTTCCACTAGTAAGAGACTGAATATGCTCACACACAATGGCCAGACCATATATAAAAACAGAACTCTCACCTGCAACCACTATGCCAGGAAACCAGCCTGCTAGGAACAGGACACTTACTGGAAGCCAGCTTGCTGTCTCTCTCAGTAACTCCTGAAACAGTCAGCCCCAAAGGGCCAGGACTTGATTAATAACTGACAGCTTAGGACTAATCAGAAAATAGCAAAATATGCATATTTGAAAGTTGCTAAGAAAGTAGATCCTAAAATTTCTTATTCCAAGGGGAAAAACAGTTTGTAACTATGTATGGCAATCATTTCACAATGTATACAGTTATCTAATCATTATATATCTCAAACTAATCTGATGTTAAATGTCAATTATACCTTAATTAACACCCCCCCCCCAAAAAAAGTGAAAGCAAAATACGCATCCCTAACCAATCACATAGATGCTCACCTCGTTAGCCTCCCTACAACTCCCCATGCCAGCAGCCTCCCGTCAGGGAGCACCTGCAGCCTTCCCCTTTTTTCCACCTTCTGCCTGTTTTTGAGTCTCTGCTGAAACATAAATGACAGTGGCTGACTCCTTTGCTATAGAAAGTTCTAAATACATTGCCTTTGCTGTTCTTGAGTTTTATTTCCACGTGATTCCCATAGTCATTTCATAGCTTGTCTTCACACTCGGTGTGTATGAGGTTCCCATTTCCCTACGTGTTTACCCATAACTTCGATATCCTCTTTTAAACTTATGCCAGTCCAGTGGGTGAAAAGGAATTCACTATTGTCTTTTCATTTGACTGATTATTAGTGAGATGGAGCTATTGACAGTTCTTTCCAGAGGCGGTTAAGAAATTTATAGAAAGGAGTTATGATCTTATCTGTGTGCTTCTTGTGTATAATGAAAGTGAGGAGAAATTTCTGGGGGCATTTTATATAATAAATTTGTGAAGAAAAAAAAAGGAGTTATGGCATTACCCTTTAAGATATGTGAGGATTGCCTGGCCGGTGTGGCTCAGTGGTTGAGCGTCGACCCCTGCACCAAGAGATCACTGGTTCGATTCCCGGTCAGGGCACATGCCCAGGTTGTGGGCCTGATCCCCAGTGGAGAGCATGCAGGAGGCGGCCAATCAATGTTCTCTCTCATCGATGTTTCTATCTCTCTCTCCCTTCTGCTCTAAAATTAATAAAGAAAAAAAGATATATGATACAAATATCAGATGGTTTAGCTTTATTAGTTTCTGAAGAGGGGAAGTAGCCTAGAACTATTATCTTAGACTTTTTCTTTTAAGCAGAAAAATTATTTTATTTTTTTCTAAACTAAATTTTAAGCAGGACCATAAACAAGATGAAAACTGGAGTGCTTCAGGTAAAACAAAGTTAGTAGTATGATTCTACCTACCCGGCCTCCGCCCCTTTCGACCTGCCTTCCTGCCGCCAGATCACCGGGCACCCGGAGGTGGGACCGCCTGGTACTGTGGGGTGCCCCTGGCGTGAGAGTTTAATGAATTCCATTTTCATCACTCTCACCGTCAGTGTGAAAGGGGAACTGGATAAACTCAACAAGACTTTGGGCTAAACATGTTCTGTTTATTTGGTTTTCTGGCAGGCAGGAATTTGTGGATGCTTACGTGAACTATATCTTCCAAATCTCAGTTCACGAGTGGTACACGGCTTTCTCCAGTGGCTTCCTAAAGGTGTGTGGTGGCAAAGTGCTTGAGCTCTTCCAGCCGTCAGAACTGAGGGCCATGATGGTGGGGAACAGCAACTACAACTGGGAGGAACTAGAAGAGGTAAGCAGGTTCTCCCTCAGGCAGCAGCAGCCTGGGGAGGTGTGCCCGGAGCCCAGGCTCCTTCACGGCGTATGTGCTGGAGTAGGATTTGGAGGCCTCTGCAGCTCAGAGGTGATTTCTTACTCCCAAATGCAAGTGGTTCATACAATGTCCATTATAATCTTCTTCTGTAAAATACTTTTGCCCTGGCCAGTTTGGTTCAGTGGTTAGAGTGTTGACCCTGGGACCAAAGGGTCTCGGGTTGATGTCCAGTCAAGGGCACATACCTGGCACATACCTGGGTTGCAAGTTGCATCCCCAGCCTGGTCAGGGTCATTTGGGAGGCAACCAATCGATGTGTCTCTCTCACATTGATGTTTTGTGTGTGTGTGTTATCCTCATCCGAGAACATTTTTCCATTTTTTGTTCAGATAGAGTGGGAGTGAGAGAGAGTGAGAGAGAGGAAGAGAGAGACAGAGAGACATCGATGTGAAAGGGACACATCAAGTGGCTGCCACCTGCACGACCCAAACAGGGCCGGGGACAAACTACAACCGAGGTACGTGCCCTTAGCGGGAATCAAACCCGGGTCTGTCTGGACCGCAGGCCGACACTCTAACCGCTGAGCCAAACCGGCCAGGGCTCTTTCATTGATGTTCGTTTCTCTCTCCCCCTTCCTCTCATTCTCTCAAAAAAAAAAAAACACAAAAAAACATAATCAATGGGAAAAAAAAGGGGGAATATCTGTAATACTTTCAACAATAAAGATTAAAAAAAATAAAAATACATTTTTTCCTTTTTGTCTTCTGCGGGCAGACGGCCATCTACAAGGGGGATTACTCAGCCACACATCCCACTGTGAAACTATTTTGGGAAACATTTCATGAGTTTCCACTGGAAAAGAAGAAGAAGTTTCTCTGTAAGTATTTGTCCACATCTTCATTTTGGATGTAACGTAGGATGATATACTCCATAGGTGAAATTCTAACACTTTTAAATGATAAATAGTAAATAAATGTTTACACCTTTGTTTTGATGTTTCAGGCACAACACAGGTTGTATTAATCCATAGTCGTTGCTCTAAAACCACTGGTTATTTTTATGTTAGTAATTCCTTTAAGTATCACATTGATGAAATCTAGTTGTTTGGATTAATTTCCCTTATCTGTCTGTGTACTTGGGAGATGTGATTTATATTAGCTCTATAGTTGCGGCATAATTCACATACCACGCAACTCACCATTTAAAGTGTACAGTTTAGTGGTCTTTAGTATATTCACTGGGTTGTGAAACTCGGTTTTGGAACATGTTCATCACTGCAAGAAGAAAGCCCATGCTCGTCAGCGATCTGTCCCCGTTCCCTCCTGTCCCCCAGCCTCCCCAGTCTGCTTTCTGTCTCTGGATTGCCTATCCTGGACATGCCATATAAATGGAGTTATGTTATACACGGTCCTTAGTGACTACCTGGATGACATTTGAGACGGCCGATACATTTGGAAAGAAGCATGAATTCTAGTTTATGTGAACAAATTTAGCCTCTTAAAAACAGTTGAAAACTGAATTACCAAGCAAAATAGAGCCAGAAAGAGCAGGCAGACAGCTCAGTGTGTGTGTGTGTGTGGGGGGGGGGGTACAGAGGGACTGAGCTAGAGAGAGAGAACTCACGGGCAGGGACAGCAGTGTGGTGACTGCGGCGGGAGGTGGGAGAGGGCGTGGACGGTGCTGGGGAAAACAGTTGAAATCTTTGTGTCATATAATCAAGGTCAGAAATTAGCCAGTGAATAGTATAGAATTCTTATTCATAGAAAACGAAAAAAGAGGATTTGAAAGGCAGGCTCTTTTATATGAATGAGTGTATATTACTATTAATGATACACACATTGGCACATAAAAGTGATTGTACTTCTCACACGAGCCACAGGGTGTCAGGCTTTCCTCTGTCCTGGGAGGACGGCGCCGGGTTCGCACAGCTGCTGACGCCGGTTCCCTTTCTCCCCAGTGTTCCTCACAGGCAGCGATCGGATCCCCATCTACGGCATGGCGAGCCTGCAGATCATCATTCAGTCCACAGCCAGCGGGGAGGAGTACTTGCCCGTGGCCCACACTTGCTACAACCTTCTTGACCTTCCCAAGTACAGCAGCAAAGAGATCCTGAGCGCGCGGCTGACCCAGGCCCTGGACAACTATGAGGGGTTTAGTTTGGCCTGAGCCCTCCCAGCGTGCCCCCGAGTCCCCTTCCCCCCTCAGTGTGCACATTGAGGCCTATACAGAAAATCACGGGGAGTGAGTTCTATTTTTTTACTATATAAGTGGGTTGGGACTTTTGAATCCTGAACCTGGTAGATTTGTTTCTGGGGTTGTACGCAGTAAGCAACCTTTGTGAAAAATTAGGGGATGGGTGAAAAATTGGCTCTTAGATGAGAGAGGTTTTTGTTTTTAAACCAAATTACCAAGTGCCCCTTGCACTTGTGACTCCGTTGCACTCTGCTGGATAAAATGGCAGTGGGTTCTTAACCTCCCATTGCCCAGATGTCTCTCTCAGCCCTGATCTCTCCTCACATCGCTTCCCTGTCCTCCTCCTGCCTTCTCATTCCTCTGCGAGAATGGCTCGGACTCACCTGTCCCTTCCTCCTGCACGTGCCGCCAACTCCCTCTCGCTGCGGAAGGGCCCGCCGGCCCCGCCCCGCCCTGAGGACCGAGGAGGAAAGGATGACTTCGGAAATTCCAACAAACTGAAGCCGGGTCCATTACTTTGGCTGAGCTCCTGAGAATGTACGGGGGCCTTCATGAACACATCTTGCTTTACAAAAACAAACTCAACGTTCTTGAGGGACTAGCAGTCTCCCCACGGCTCTGCCTGTTCCTGGACCCCCTGAAGACGCGCAGAGCCCTCAGAGTGGCCGCTGAGCCTGTTTCTGTCTTGTTGCTCAGCCAAGTTCCTGTGACAGTAAGGTCACAGGCCCCAGCCCCTTCCCTCATTTCACTTTTGGAGCAAGTTGCATCCATTTTTGTTGAGTGTCTTCTCCAGGAAAAGTAGAAATAATGAATGTCTTGTTCTGTCCTCTACCGCTTTCTCTTTCCTCCCTCCCGTCTTCTTCCTTGTCCTGCCTTCTCCTTCCCCTACTGTACTTTTCTGTCGCTCCAGAAAAGTGACATTCTCTGTTACCTGACTTTCTGCTCCCTTCCTCCCCTTCTAGTGGATGCATGCAGTCTGTTTTTAAATTTTTATTTCTATTTAAATCGCAGTTTCTACTCAGATTTTTTTTCTTTTCCCTAATTGCTAGACCTAAGGATATTCTTTATTATGGAACTTTTGTTTATTGCATTTGAAATGTTTGTTTACAGTGGGATTTCAGGGGGGATTGTGTATAAAGCAAATATATGTATCTCAAAAATAATGACATGTTCAACCTTCTTCAGCGTGGGATAAGAAAAGTCTATATGATCAAAGAATCCATGTCGACCTAATTTTAAATTCCTAGTCACTAGAGAAAGACTTATTTATATAAAATGAAGTATTTATGAACCTTGATATTATAGCATCAAATCTCAATGAAGGATTGTAGATTTTTGATTTTGTTTTTAAAACTTATTCCAATTGCTAAATTGGTAGTTTTTCAGTCTTTATAATACAAGATTAAAAAGAAGATATACAGTTATACGAAATGTTTATTTTCTATGTGTGTGCATATAGTTCAATATTATGCAATAAATTTGGTGTTTTAATTTAAAACTGTTTCTTATTGTACTTGCAGAATGGGTAGCTTGCTTTCAGTAGAAGAATTAAGTCATCTACCCAGCTGATGTAATAGCAGGTCAGCTTGGCTTCTAGCCGTAGACAGCAGGTGCCGGGGAAATGGAGAGGCAGGCAGGGCCCAGGGTGGTGGAGCAGACACTGAGGGCGAAAGGGATTCCTGAAGGTTGTGATGGATGAAAAGGCATTTCCGTGAAGGGCAAGGCCTGAGCAAAGGCTTGAACGTGGGGGCATATCTGGAAACGGGCCAGGAACAATCTGAAGGAAGCATCAGATGACATAGAGTAAGACTGAGGAGAAAGAAGGTAGGTTTGGGGCTGAGTAACCGGGCTAAGCATTGCAACGTTAGTTGATAGTCCAGTAGAATTTGTTAAAATGCTCAGAATCTTGGAGTCGGGGTTGGAGGCAGTAATCTGACTTGAGCTTGGTTTTAAGGAGAAAGATGTAGATGGAGGTACAGTTAGGATATGGAGCGGGACGGGCAGAGGAAACGGAAAATAAATGGGAGGACACCGAGGTAATGGGAGCCTTACAGGAAAGGAGAAGTTAAGGGGGAACCAGGGGCTTGTCATCTGATGATTGATGCTCATTAGCCCACTTAGACACACCAAAAGTGTGAGAAATGCAACAGAAAAAAGAAGAGGATTTTTAATTTATTTTGAAAACAATTATACTGTATCATTTTACCAGCTTTAATAGATGGTTTAAAGAGGTGGTCAAGAGAATAGTAGGTTCTCAATATTAAGTTCCCTTCAACAAACATTTAATAGCATACAAAAATGCTAAGTTTGAGGGACACAAAAAGCCTGCCACATTTCATTTTGAATGGAACTAGCCAAGTTATTTTAAGTTTCTGGGCTTCGGAATCCTCATCCATGAAATAAGGGGACTGGACCAGGTAATTTCTAAGGTCCCCTTGAGCTCTAAAATGCCACCCCGAGAACAGACCTGCTCACAGAGCTGCCCAATGAATAGTTCTAAATGTTTGCTGCACGAACCATGTTCTGTGCTGCTGCTAAACCACTATGATTTTTCTGGGATATTTATCTTTTCTCTTCATCACTTACTGCTTTAGAAGACTCTTCAGGTAGGCATATGTAGACCTACCTACCTTACCTCCTCTGTAAACCTTTGGAAGTTTCTTCACTGTTTTAGTCATCTACCAATTGAATGAAACTCCTTGAATGAACGTGTAACCTAGGCAATTCAGCAACTTCTGATAGCTCCATCCACTCCACATAAAGCCTTTTCATGATTTACTGGTTCTCTATTAATAAATTCTGGAGATAAAGGGTTGGCCAATGATATCCCATTAGCTAAAATGGGTTTTACATTATTTAAAGGGTTGAACTTTTTTTTTTAAAGGAAGGATGTATGATTGTATGGCCTACAACGCCTTAAACATATTAATATCTGGCCCTTTACAAAAAATGGTTTGCCAACCCCTGTGAGACCAGACTTTAGGAATCACAATAATAGTTGGATAATCTTACTGAAATCTTAGGAGGAATATGGGTCACGGTTTTACCAGAAAAGGAGTGTTCAGGCCTTTCTGCCACAGGGGTAGAAAATCAAGCTTTGCCTAACCTCCTGAAGGGGATGCCAGGGTTCTGAACGTAATAATAGTTACACATACTGATCGTGTGCCAGACCCGGTGCAAGCATTTACTATGCCCTAGCCAGTTTAATTGCCACCCTTGTCCTCCTGGCTCTACCAGTTACTAGCTGTGTGGCCTTGGGCAGGTTTCTTTACCTCTCTGTTCCTAATTTTCTTATTTAAAATGGGACAGAAATAGTGCTTACCTCATGGAATTGTTATGAGAAGTGAATTAATTCATGGAAAGCACCTAGAACAACCTCTTAGTAGCTATAATTACCACATGAAGAAATGACTGTTTAGAAAAAAATGACTTGCTCACTGTCACAAAGTGGTGGGACCTGGACTTGACCGTTAATCTATAGTTATATCCAGATGCCAGAGATGAGGCTGCTTAGTGACCAAATAAAAAGGGACATCTCGGTGTGGCAGGTAACTTCCTTGACCACACATCTGCAAAGACACTGCAGTGTAGGAGGTAACTCTCCCCCCTCCCCACCAAGATCCACAATTAGACAGCTTTCCGTGAACAAAAATAGCTCTGGGCGAGCTCTGGCATCCACTTAAACTTCAGCAACAGGGGAATAAAACAAAACAAACCCCCCAGAGAATAATCGTACGAAAAGGAAAGAAGACAGCTTCATCTTGCCTGCGTCGGCCAATCCCCCGAGCCAGCACTGCTCAGCACCAAGAGGGACCCCCAGCTGGAGTAAGGTTCCCTCACTGAAAGAGGAGGAGTGGGGTGCTTCCTCAGCCTTTGGGGGCATCGTATGAAAGTCCTGCTTCAGTGTTACCCAGCCCAGAGACCGGCAAAGCTGAGACCTATGGTTAGGAACAAGGAAGCGAGGGGCTGTCAGAGCAGGCGCACAGCGGAACGGTCACGGTTCTCCGTGACCTGCTCTGCGGGCAAATCCAGCAGCTTTCACCACTGACAAAGCCAACAGACAGCACAGCTGCTATGGGCCCTGCAGATTTCACCAGCTTTCACCCCACAGGAGTTTGTGTTCACTGACATGAACCAAGTCTCTCCTTGCTTCCTCCCCACCTCTGGTTCCCCTGGATACCAGGACCTGCACTGGCGGCTAGTCCAAGCTCCTGCAGCTGTGCGAGGGTAAGATGCCAGTCTAGACTCGCATGCTGACCCCCACTGCCATGCATGCGCTTGGGGCTAGTCCCTCAGCAGAGTACTTGTTCGCTACCAGCCTGCCACCTGTTACTGGCCTCCATTGCCATGCACACACCCCAGGCGAGATTGTGTAGCTACAGGAGAACATGCCAGCAGCTAGGGCCCTGCAGCTGCTTATGGGCCCAGATCAGGTCCCGTCTCCTGTCACTGACCTGTCCCACTGTGCGTACCTGCAGGCAGTCCTTCTTGCTGTTGGCCTGCACACCCCTGGCCCAATCCCCATTGCCAGCCCCCACTCCCGTATGCCTGTGGCCAGACCCAGCAGCCATGGTAGTGTACCCCAACAGCTAGAACCCACCACAGCTGCCAGGATACCCACAGTTGGCCTCAGCACTTCCTGCCTGCCCTGCTGCCCACCACTACATGTGTGTCTGCAGCTGGCCCCTGTCACTACATAGGCACCTATAGCTGGCCCCCTTAGCTGAGTGTGCACACACTACTGGGTCTGGTCACCTCTGACCTCTGTCTTGGACCCAGCAGTGCTGCTAAAGGACCCCAATAGCTAGTGTCGCCTCTGAGGACTCCCCATAGTGATCGTCAAGGACCAAACAATTGATATTGTGCACCCTACAACCTAAGCCAAAGAAACATCACACCCACCCTGCCCAGACCCATTGCTACCACACACTCCTCCACTGGGTGCCCCTGACCACTAGACCCAGGATCACAGCACATAGTGTGCCCCCACCCACAGGTGAAAGTCTTCACTTACCAACAAAGTCAGTTCATAAAGTCTGGAAGAGGTGACTCCTTCTTCAGATGCACAGACACTCACACAAGGGTACAGGAATAATGAAAAATCAAGAAAAAATTTTCCACCAAAGGAATAAAGTAAAGCTCCAGTACCATGAAATGGAGATCCAGGAATTGCCTGACAATAATTAAAAATAATTGTTCTAACAATGATCAGAGAACTAGTAGAGAATACAAACAATTTAATGATCCCTGGAAAATAATACAAGAACAAAATGAGACGTACAACAAAGACATATAAAACATAAAAAAGATACAAACTCTGGAGCTAAGGAACACAATGACTGAAGAATTCAATAGAGAGCTTCACCTCCAGACTTGAACAAGCAGAAGAATCAGTGAGCCTGAATATAGATCAATTGAGATTATCTAATCAGAGGAGTGAAAACAAAAATGAATGAAAAGGAATGGAAAACACCTACAGGACTTATGAGACACCATGAAGAGAAATAATGTGCATATCACTGGAGTCACAGAGAAGAGAGGAAAAAGGGGTAGAAAGTTTATTTAAAGAAATAATGGCTGGCCCTGGCCTGTTTGGCTCAGCGAGAGGAGCATTGGCCTACGGACCAGAGAGTCCCAGGTTTAGTTCCTGCTAGGGGCATGTACGAAAGAAAGAAAGAAAGAAAGAAAGAAAGAAAGAAAGAAAGAAAGAAAGAAAGAAAGAAAGAAAGAAGGAAGGAAGGAAGGAAGGAAGGAAGGAAGGAAGGAAGGAAGGAAGGAAGGAAGGAAGGGGAAAGAAAGAAAGGCTGAGAATTTCTCAAATCTGGGAGAGATTTGGACATCCAAATTTATGAAAATAAAAGGTACTCCAAAATTCCAATCACATGATTTTCCCAAAACATAATAAAATTCTTTAAAGTAAAAACCAGAATTTTAAAGCAGCAAGAGGAAAAGAAAATCTTATCAAAAGGAACCCACATGAGGCTATTAGTATTTTCCTGAAGAGGATGAAATGATACATTCAAGTACCAAGAGTAAACAAACCGTACCAACCAAGTATACTTTATCTCACCTTTATTTCTGAAGAACAGCTTTGCTGGGTAGACTTTTCCTAACAAAAGTGGAGAGAGCTCATCACCACAAGATGTGACTTATCAGAAATGCTGAAAGGAGTTCTTCAAGCTGAAATAAAAGGATGCTAATTAGTAACATGAAAACACACAACACATTGGTTAAGGTAAGTAGTCAGATTCAGAATACTCTAATACTAAGTTATGGGGTATGCTGACCATTTAACTCCAGTGTAAAGGTTAAAGGGCAAAAATATTAAAAATAGCTATAGCTACAATAATTTATTAAAGTATATACAATATAAACTATGTAAATTGTGACATAAAAAACAAAAGGGTAGAGTTTTTGCATGCAACCAAAGTTAAATTGTTATCAGCTTCAAATAAACTGTTATGGCTACAAAATATTTTATGTAAGCCTCATGGCAAA